ACAATACAATATGAAAAGCTTTTTAAGACTTCTCTTCCTAATTGGCCATATTCTTCCTTCTCATGATATTCTCATGATAAAATGTCAAGTCTTTTTACACAGTGCACTCATGCATGTTCATTACATTAATTTTAACAGTAAGTTGGTTTCTTTAGTAAATTCCTGAAGCTCATCTCAGTCCCTGCTACAACCAGGATCCCTAGTTGCAGGAAGACACAGACTCCTCAAGCCTGCAGTTCTTGCTGACCAGGTTTTTATATCTATTCCTTTGGAGCTATCACTGCCACTGTGATTAGTTTTACTCATATACTTTCACTGACAGTGTTACTCAGTTTTGGAAATAAACACAAGTTCAAGTACAATGGACTAGTTATTGCTGCACTGTAGACTGAATGAAGCACGTGCAGTACGGAATATGGCCACAATACCATGATTCTGAACGGAGGCTGAGGACCTCAGGGAGCTAGAATAATACTGTCTATATTTTCTGAGGTGAGGTCACATACGTTATACTTAAAAAAGGTTATTCATTTATTCATAAAAAGCTTTAAGATTTTTCAGTAATGCAAGATGAGCTTCATGGTAAAAAAATAACAGAACAGACCAATGGTCCAACTTTATTTTCTAATAAAGGTTGCTACTGTAGAACATCCAAGTCTTTTGTTTAGAATGGCTCTTGAATACATGCAACAAGTCCACAAGACAAAGTAGTCCAGGAGTGCGAATTTCCTAATCTGTTACTTTACCAGGAGCCTGTCCCTCCTGGTGCATCTCTGTGGAATCAACTCCAGCGAGTGACAATGCTCTTACTCACTCAGTGTTTCTTCTGACTCTTCCTCTATATAGCCTTGAAAATTGCTTTCCCTCTCTGGCAAGTGAAGCTGTGCCAGCATGACATAAGTGACACATACTATCACTATGCCATTCACTCCACTATCTGATCATCATTTCAGCACTGCAGACTGTCAACTATATAATGAGACTCCAGAAATCAAGAGTTTTAAAACTGGCACATGGATTCTATTCATTACAATTTTTGCAATGTGCACGCCATGCATTTATAATGCAAAAATCAACTTATTTAGGGCAGTAAGAGTTGTTACCATCTATCATTTCTTGAAGGAACTGCATTTAAAAGAACTTGACAAGTCCATTTTAAAAAGAAAACAATTAAATGAATATTTAAAAGGAAAACAATTAAATGAATATTTACCTTGACTGCAAAGAAGCACAATTATGAACAATTTAGTATAATTTTGTAAAATAATATATTTTACTGTTTTAAGTACTGAGAATTATAATGCATTCATTTATTATATAGATCAAACAGTACCACAGATGGGATCGACTTGTACAAAAAATACACTTTTTTTTAAAACATGGTTTTGATATTGAATGCTAATTTTTCTTCCCGTTACATAGAAAACAATTTGCTATCTGAAACCATACTGGTGGGTGATTAGTGTCTTGGAATTAACTGTATCACAAATAAACTTCTTTGTCTTTTGATGTCTGTAAGTTTTCAGGACTCAGAATTGTGGCTGACTTGGTGGAGCTTTTTATGTAAGACCCATAGATGACTTACTTATTCTAATCAGAATCCCTTCTTACTCTGTCACAAATTAAGAAGAAGATGGACTTTTTATTAAGACAACATCATTGATTAGCTTTAAAACTTCTCCCAAAATTGATGTGAAATATACCTTGCAGTTAGCACAGAACAGCACGTGCAGTCATGGATAATTTTTCACTCTAGTTTCCTGAAAGTCAATAGAACAAATATTTGCATAAGCAGCTGCTTTCACTGACTTATCTCCATTTCTTTTTCTTATTAATCTTGTACAATAATATTTTACAATGCATCATTTTACTCACATATTCTGCAATTTTTTCAATCTTCATAAATAATAGCTGTAAAAGTGGACTTTTGAGACAGTATTGCTAAAAGACAATGCCCTGGTATAAAACAGTCTGCACCGTAGTCCACCCCCAAGGAGCTTTCACTAGTTACCCTCACACAAAAACTCGGAGCACAAGTGTGAAACTCATTTTATGCATTTACTCCTGGATCTCAGTTACATCAGGTATGGCAGCTCAGAGTTTTCACATATTTTAGTAAGGCATATGAGCTTTTCCTGAAATACAGTAAAATCTGTGGCATATAATAATCTATTATTTGCTACATCAGTATGAAATTGCGCATATAATAGATGAATGTGTTTTTCCTATCTATAGATATAACATACAGTGACTGAAGCACATTTGTATAACTCTATGAAAGGCGGGTAGGTGGAAGCATTTTACCGTAGTGGCACACTCAAACTGAAGCAACCGTAGCATGCAGTCACATCACCTTGGCCTGTAAAGCGGCTGTACTACGTAAATCAAACTTGTCAAGGTCTTGAGGCAGCCCACTGGAGAGGAAAATCTATCTTGCTAGACAATGCAACCTGTGCTGATAAGTAACCACTGAATACACTTGATAGCTGAAAATGTTACATCAGCCAGACCCCAAACACAGACAAAGATGCCAGGCTGATACACGTGTTCGGTTTGTGTATTTAGTGAACAGCATCTGTTTTTTTTATTAACTCTTATCTAGCTTAACAACCATGTCAGACTAAGAAAATTTGAGCATTTTGTGTTGTGATTTTGTGGACACTTCTGGGTGAAGTCAGCTTAGATGAATTCATATCCAAGCTGACTTTTTTTTGTGTTTCTAACACAATTTGTCTCAACAATTTGTCTAACACATTTGTTCTCAACTGAAAATCTTACAAAAAATCTGAAGTTTGTGTGTGACACGGTTATAATAGAAACAAACACTTTAATCATTAGGTATTTGTATCAATGAAATACAGTGAATTTTGCCTTGATTCATGTCCTTGCAGTGTAAGGCTATTATGGTATCTGCCATTCTGAAGTGTAACAAAGAAATAATTACTAAGCAAAAGAAGAAATATATCTACAGCTATTTCTGTCACAGAAAGTATTTGGAGAAACAAGCAAGACAGTACTACATTTTTCTACATCTGTGACTAATTTGTTACCAAAATCTAAGTACATTTTTATAGACATGATTTCTTGTTTTTAGCAGGAGCAGCTGTACCATGTTAATATTCACGATCAAAACATCTGAGTACAAGACTTCTATTTGACTGAAAGATATTTTACCTGACAGAAGCAAATGTTTTGATTACCATTATACTGCTGTGCTGTTACGTGAGGAAACGCTGCTGGAAATTATTATTTGTTGTAAAACTTGAGCTGAACATGTTTCCATATGTTAGTACAGAGAAATGCACAGATAAAACATGAAATAGGAAAAAACCCTGAGATGTGGAAGAGCTTACCTGAGCACTTCTCAGCAGATTGGCTGCTTAGCTGTCCAGAGCCCTGAAACAGTGAGACAGAATAAACTCAATGTAACCATCACATAGCCTACTGCATTCACTTTAACACATCAGTTAAATCGGTTCAAATGACAGAACATATGCTTAGTAAACTATCCAAAAAGAGTTAGCATGCAACTCCAGCTGCAAGAGACTTTGTTCACAAACTACTTTATTCTCATCAAAAAAGTAAACCAATCACATTGACAAAAAGCCACTGTAAACAAAAAGACTATTTAAAGGATTAACAGTTTTGGCATCCCTACCATCAAGTCATCTGTTGTTTTTGTTTGTTTGTTTTGTTTTCATCAAAATTTAGGTTATATATTTGTTGTTAGCAAGAGTTGCATTACTATTATTGCTAATTTTAGTTCTGTTTATTACCTTGAGGGTTATATATTGCAGAATAATTTTGTTGTCACTAGTTAATGTTAATTAGATATTTTAATAGCCTATATACCTATTTGTTATCTTTTGGTAGGTTTACTTTTTTAACTATCAGTAACTTAATAACTGAGAATATTTAACATTACTGTTGCATACTCAAAATTACAGAGTTACTATTAGTGTTACCTGTTTAACGTTTAGTCATCCTTTGAGTCCTGCGACATATTTCCTTAATAATCATCAGCCATCAAGTCTGATAGTCTCAAAAGAAATATCAGCCCTCTAACTGCCTTCAAGGGCGGTGATATTTAGCACTGAAAATTACAAATAAAGTTTTTGAAGTTGAATACCAACAACTGGGCAGTGACACTGATGATTTGTTTATCAAGACAAATTGATATATACTACAAAAATGCAATCCACGCACTCTTCCGAGTGAAAACAAATATGTGAATCTATGCAATGCTTACATGTTGAATGGGATATTTAATGTGCGGGGAAACTCAAAGGTTGAAGAACTAGCATTTAGACAGTCTAACAGTGGTAAGTGGTAATCTTACCTCTTTAAACTCCATTACATTCTCACGAGAGACATGCTAATACAAACAAGTCAATCAGAGTTTGTGTTTAGCAAGATCAAGCTTAGAGGATAGTTTAAAATCCATTTATTGTTCTAAAGCATTTTTTTCCATTAACATGTTATACATTAGTGGATACTAACCATGATTCATGTAACAGTTTAGTTTGTTAACTTTTAAATTATTTAACAACCAGAAGTTATTAATACAACTTTTAAAGTCTTACACAAAAAAATCTTAAAACAAGCTTGGGTTCATTTTTGTAATTTTTATATAAAAAACATTTTAGGCATCTCTTGAAAAAGAAATAAAGCAGGCATTTAAAGCTAGAAAACAAGTAATTCCAAATTTAGTTTGTTACAAAAGGTTTCAGCTTTATTGACAAATTATGGCAAACATATTTGACAAAATTATGGTTTCCTATTTAGAGAAGCTTACACATGGAACTTTATGTGATTTTTTTTTTTTTAACAAATACAGGTTAAAACACTGAACAAATTCAGTTAGCTACATACATACAGTAGCTGCTTGTTTTCAACCCCATTAAAACAGCATTTAAAATTAAATTTACAAACTTAATATCGAACATCTTAATCTAAACTAACATATATTAAAAAGACAGGTTAAAACATCTTATCTACAACTTGATTATTGTATGGCTCAAATGAAAAAAGGAAAAGAAAAAAAGAATCATATTACAGTCTTTCAGCAACCCTAAACAAAAACTCAGCCTTAGCTAGTATGTAGAGAGACTCAAGATCTGTAACAGGTTCATGCTTTTAAAGTTACACACAGCAATGAATACAACCAACAGAACATTATCTTTGAATGGTTTATAGACAATGCTTGCCAAAGGTTTTTTCTTTCTGCTTTTTTTTTTTTTTAAGTCCGTGTTATAAAATAATACTAATGCCAATGTCACTCCAATGTTATAGGAAATACAAGTAGTACATAGGATAATAATGATCAGTAATCCCTAGGATAGAAAAGAAATTGACTATTACTTGTCTTGTTGCTGTTTATGCGGAGACCACAGGCTATTAATTGTCTTTGAGTTGAGGTCACAGATGAGGAGGACCTTCAATATCTACCATAGGGGTGTTCCCTGTAAGCACCTCGAGCTGACCTTGGAGGAGGTGCCTTTAGGCTGGAACGGGTTGTGGCCCATTCTTCTTGTGCTAAAAACAGAAAAGAAAAAACATGTTGTGTAAATATCTAAACCTGAAAGAACAAAGTGTTGTCACTACTAATGGCTGTCAAAATTCTCAAGAGTTTTGCTTGAAAGATTTAAAAAAATAAGACAACAATTGCCATCCATTTCTTTATTCTTCAAAAAACAACAACAAAGAAAAAAACAACAACAACAAAAAACCCTACAGAAAATTTAACTTCTAACTTCTCAACACAGGCCCTGTGGATGTCTCAGGATGAAAAACCTCATCTTTACTCCCAGCAGAGAATGAATATCTAGTGTGGTGGCAGTAAAGACAGCTCAGAAAAACGTCACTGCACTTGTCTGCCAGCTCAAAATTTGAGTCTATAGCATATAAGCTGAAGTATCCACGTGAAAGACATTTAATGCAACTGGTATGTTGATAAAATGAAGACTGAAATAATAAAAAATAACTGAAATACATTTAATTTTTACTTCCATTTGAAACCGTGAGAAAGAAGAAAACAGTGGAAGAAAAATAATATATAGGAAGGGAGCTACAACATTACGAAAATGAGTTTTTGCACTACACTTTTTGCATTTCATTATCATTAGCATACTTTTTCCTCTAATTTGCAGAAATGAAATGTGCCCCAAAAGAATAAATTAAAACCCTTAAAACATGTTCAGTTTGTGCAAAGTTTCTACAAATTTTTTTTTTTTTTTCCTCCACCTTCCACAGACCAAGCCTTCCAAAAGAACAAATAGGAAGCCACCTACAGCTCTGGTATAGCAGTTTAACCTCAAACTTGAACTATTTTCTCAAACAATTGCACCTAACCTTGACCATCTCATCAAACAATTTCTGTTTTTGCCTTCCACTGACTTCAACAGATCATACAGTCAGTGACTGAAGTAAAAAATCACAGAAATAACAGTACATCATCTCTACTATGTCACACAGCATACCATTTCCGTTACAACTGATGCACAAAATCACCAGGCAGCTTCAGAATCTCCACATATTCCCCAAAAGTTATGTGATAATCTGTCCATGCTTTTGCAATAAAATACAGAAGCTGTCCAGAAATTAGTGAGGAAGACATTAATTACTGTCAATGTAGTATTTAGTATGTTTGTAGTACAGATTTGTGCACTAGATTGATGACTATAAAATATTCTATTAAGAGCTGAGCCTTCAGATGCCAAGGCAAAAAGAACAGTTTTTAAACTGTGTAAGAAGCAGAGACTGGAAACAAAAACTCTGAATGATTGAAAGGTGACTTGAAGCCAGTGGCAAAGGGATACCTGATGTACCTGGAGAGAAAATCCAACACTAAATATTATTATTACCATTTTCTATGGTATTAAATTCCTTCTGCTTTTAAGATGGATTGGGCTTTCACTTGTCAAGTTACTGTCAGAAAGATGATGGATCTCACACCTGTATTTTTGATTATATTGAATGTTTTAAGTCACTCAAAATGCTAAAGAATTTTGTTCAATTTTTTTTTTTTTTTTTAAATAGAGTAACCTAAACAAGAAAAGAGAATTTTCTATAAAAAATAGGATACATTGGCCACTACATCATAATATTTAAAATCAAAATTGTAATAGTCATACATTTCAAAGGAAGCATTGCCTTAAATTTAGACCGCGTTTTGATTAATGGGACAATAGTCTTAGATAAAGTATAATAAGGAACTTTAAAGTTATCTTCATAAGAAATGTTAAAGATTTTATTTTACTAAACTTTCTTTTAAAGAAGCCAAGTTTTCATAAAAATACTATTTTGAGAAGAGTACAGCAAATGTTTCACATTTTGATTACTGTTGGTTTAATTGGTATATGTAAATTACTGAATTTCTTCAATAGTCTGTCTTTAAACATCTTATTCATATTGTTTAGTTATGAAAAACATAAAATGACAGGACTCCTCCCTGAAGTCCCATACATAGAGGACTTTGTTTCTCTGTTGTATCTTGATGAGCATGTCTGCTGGAAACAAAATCAAATTCCAAATACACAACAGCAGTATTATTGCATAGTACAAGCACAGAAAAAATAATATTTAAGCATCTTCACTTTGTTTGGATTGTTTTTTCTTATGTAATTGCCCAGTTTCTAAATATTTTTTCCCAGGAACATAATGAAATGCAACTGCTGCTCTGAAAGTAATGCCTCATATTATATTGTGTTGGCCCATGATGACAGAGGCAGATGGTGATGGTATGGCAGAAGAGGTTGAGCCTCACCACCAATATTCCATTACATTTGTCGCTGTGTGATAGATGGCAGCAGAGAGGCAGTCTGACAGGATGGCATCTGACATGGAAGTGGGTATGAAGCCTAGGTGTGTCACTGAATTCCTCCACATGAAAAAAAAAAAAAAGATATTCATTACATTCATCGATGCTTTTTGAACATTTTTGCAGACCAAAGAGTGGATATGAGCACAATGAGGCATTTGGTGGTGCGCTTCAGCAGTGGTGACACCTACAGTGGGTCACTTCCGCTGGCGCAGATTTTTTGTGAGCTCAGCATGCAGGCTTTTTTTCATCGCTGACGAAAATGAACAGCAAATGGTGATGAATGTATTGAAAATAAGTGTTTTGCAGCTGAGAATTTTCTCATCAAATAGTCCTATTGTATCAATTGTACTTTACATGGAAATAGATAGGAGGCATTATTTTTGGAGCAACTTATTAGCTGTGCCTGGAGAATAGAGTGCTGGTGTTATACTAAAATTTTACTATTCTCCTAACCTTCACAATATAATACTTTCTACTGCCATTCATGAGACACTTGTAGTCCTATTACAGGAAGGATGCAAGCAAATAAATTTGAAAAAGCATGCTATTAACAGGAACTTTGTGGCACAGAAATCTTATTCAACAGAGATACAACCATATGCTGTCCACCCACATGGGGTACTCATTATAAAGTCACAATTTCTTTCTCTGACACAGCATACAGCCCTCATAGTTAAAGAAGGAAGAGTTCTTGCCGTGAGTGAGAAACTGAATTCTCTCTTATAGTATTGCATTGGTAGAAAAGTACAAAGATACTGATGTTCTCAGTATAGAGAAGTTCCAGCAGAATGTTTGCAATGCATTGTATTTAAAGAGGCTACACTATTCACATAAAGATAGTAACAATTCCACTCGATTTCTGGGCAAAGTAAAATAGTTTGCTTCAAATCAGCACTGATAGTTTATTAGTGTTTCCCCTTGCCCATGAAACTGAGAGAGAATGCTTGGTTACAGGTGATTCAAAAATGATATTTGTGTTGAGATTTGGTCAGTGATTGCATCAGAGCAAATAGTCGACTGTTTATTGTAAAGAAAATCACGTTCACTTGAAAAAGTCAGATGCCATGGTTTGGTATGGAATAATAAAAACTTCACTAAACATGTTACTCTGGTAATCACAAGTTGTTCTGATCAAGGAATCATAGAATTGCTTAGGCTGGAAAAGGCCTTCAAGATCATCAAATTCAACTACAACCTAATCATACTACCTCAACTCCAACAAACCTCCGCTAAATCATGTCCCTGAGCACCACATCCAAATGGCTTTTAAACACATCCAGGGATGGTGACTCGACCACCTCCCTGGGGAGCCTATTCCAGTGCTTAACAACCCTTTCTGTAATGAAGTTTTTCCTGATTTCCAACCTAAACTTACCCTTGTGCAACTTGAGGCCATTTCCCCTCGTCCTGTCACCTGTCACCAGTGAAAAGAGACCAAACCTGCTCTCGCTGTAAGCAACTTTCAGATATTGGAAGAGAGCAATAAGGCCTCCTTTCATCCTCCTATTCCCCAGACTAAACAGCCCCAGTTCCTTCAGTCTCTCCTCGTAGGGCATATTCTCCAAGCCCTTTACAAGCCTTGTTGTCCTGCTTTGGACCTGCTCCAGCGCCGCAGTGTCCTTTCTGTACTGAAAGGATGCATTAGAAGAAAGACACTAGTGACTGGAGATTGCCAATGAAGAAACATCGTTTATTTTTCCAAAATGATCATAAAGTTGAAACTTATTTTTACTGTGTAGGATTTTGTTTGGGACAGATTACTTTTTCAAGTGGATGCAGAGTGAATTTTGAGTGTAAGCAATCAGTATGGCCAGTAGGTTATGGATCAGATCCAGCTGCACATGCACTTGTGATATCAGTACAATGCAAACACGATAAACTGTGAACAGGCTTAAATGCAAGTGGAGAGGACATCTTTTTATCTTGGTATGCTTCTCTGGGTAAAGGTGTTATTGGCCCACTAACTTCCTACTTTCCAATTCTTCATAAAAATCACATTTCCCAAAGGCAATGGGTAAATTTGCATCTCTGATCATATCACTTAGGTCAAAGAGGACTTAAAGTTTTGTGGAACAGGTTTCTCTCGTGTTTTGCTTTAGGATAGTCAACCATTAGTAACACACAAGATATTCTTCCACTGTAAATGAAGTATTTAATTACCTCCTTCTTGTTCAAATTCTACTTTTAAAAAAGGGATAAAAATATTGTTAATGCTAAGAAAGAAAATTTATTTCTCCTGGCTATCCAACTCTGAAGTTTAAAAGTTGCCACTGCATATTTAAAAAAAATTAAAATAAAGCTTAAAGACTTTTAAGACTTTGATAATTCTCCCTGAATAATACATGAAATTAATCATACATTTACATACATCATATATTCATTTTCATTTAGCAGGATAAACAGCGGTATCCCCCTAAGAAAACCTGTTATTTTCTTACATAATCAGAGTATCTCATCTTGCTCCAGACCTACAGCCATAACAAATGTCCTATATTCCAAGACTCCAGGAATGAGCAGAAGTAACAGAAAAAAACAGAAAAAAGTTTGGCTGAATTGAAGCTTTTAATGTAATATGTCTGCAATTTTTTAACAGGCATGCTTTAATTGCAGGTATAGCTGTGGTTTTTTTTTTGTTTGTTTGTTTTTGTTTTTTTTTGTTTTTTTTTCTAATCAATCACTGCTGACTTTGGTGACCAGTAAGAAAATAATTAGC